TCATTTCATTTCAGAATATTGTATTGCTCAGATCTTAGATACAACAGGCATTTCCTTTGAAAACCCTATCCTTAATGTAATCATTTTACGGTTTCCCAGCCGATCCCAATATCACGTGGTATCGCATTTCTTTTCTATACCCTACAGCCATTAGATAACGCAGACATACATGTTCAGTACAAAGAGATAATCGGATATTGTTGTGCATGTGCATGCATCGGTGTACATGTATGTATATTGTAACAATTCATGGGTTGCACTTTACTTCGCAATCTCACTGCGACATACCAGTCGGAGCGTAGGCGGACGGTTTTACGGTTTGTATGCTCCGAGGTTGTTTAAAAAACTTGCTTCCTGTTATAACCGTAAAAATGGTTTTCCTTTTATTGATAACGTGACTGAATTGCTTCTATATTATCACACCCCAAAGCCTTGCTGATGCATAAATGTTCTACTTCTGTTGTAGTGTTTCACAGGTAACCAACTTCGCCTAAAACACCGATACGACATTCTAATTAGTGTTAATGTTCTATGTTTATATGAAAAAATGTCCACACGAGGCTAAAAGCTTAACGGGAAAGCAAACGCAAGGTAATTGAATCAAATCAGTCCTAAGGTATTGATATGGCATTCCCTATAGTTACAATGCGCAATTCATGTGTGGTGGAATGAATAGGAGACTACCAGATGTGTAAACTACCGTGATTCAAGCTCAAACCCGATGGAAATTGGGGAATATCTGAAGAAAAGAAAGACTATCGTGAATAATATGGCTAGGTTCCAGAAAGAAAAAATAACATCTACTTCATCGCCTTCAACCGTCATGTAAAACTACGTCGAATTCAAGTAATGTCCCGTTCCTAAAATTTGTAACAGGGTAGCTACAACGCAACTACAAAGCAAACAAATAAACAAAATCGAAACATCAATATTTATGTCGCAAAAAGAAGAAAAAACATTGCGAAAAACATTTTTGGTCAACCCAACAACTGGATTATCAGCCTGCATTTATCGAAACCCTGTTTTGTAAGATTTTCTGTTAGCATCCGGCATCTTTTAAAGGAAACGTTACATACGCAGCAATCTTTCAAAAAAAAAGGAAATTACGACAAACAAGGAACCTAGATAAGGGAAACAGCGGTGACGAATTAGGGGGAAGTCCAATATAGGAAAAATCTCACGCTTATTAAGTCGTCCCTTGTCACATTGTTAGTATGACATATTTTGCTAGCATTAACTAAAATCATCAAAAGACCAAACAGCAATACTTTTAAATCAGCGCGGATGTGTAGATAGCGCGAGCCTCTATACCATACAGTATATTCCATATGAGAATAGAAGAAAGAAGTATCAACTATCAGCTAAATAACTCGGTCGTTTGAGAATATGTTTGGCAACTGTTTCAAACCCGTAAAAAACCTTAATAACAATATCATAAATTGTAAATAATTCATTTACTGCAGCACACCATATTGTTATAAGAAAGAAGATACTATAATCATTCAATCAGCATAAATATCCTTGTATATATGCGTGTTGAGTGTTTGACTATAGACAATCACAACTTAAAAATACACCCGGGTGAGAAATCGTGTCGGGGTGAGAAATCGTGCCGTAAAATGCCTAAAGGCTTGGGTTAAATTGACAATGTTGGTTTTAAGGAAAAAGTATGAGAAACCTTATGTTACCTTCCCATAACGAATTTTGAAAACATAATCGACAGGGGAGTTACATGTTCTACACATTTTGTGTTTGGCCTGATGTAATACTTGAAAGAATGTCCTTATGTTAACAATTCACTAATGACATTTTTTCAAGAATGACAAGGATTCTTTAATGATCACAGAAAACAACCAAAACGGTCGGCAGAAGACTCTGTTCTTGATTCAAAGACAATGACTGAAAGAAATCAGATTATTCTATTTATAGTAACAAAAACCAAAGCGTTATTGTAATAGGCTATGACAACATCGATCACTACACTTGACCTATGCTGGTTTATTACTTATTGAGGGTTCGACGGATCTTTGTGTTTAGGTAAATTTTGAACGTGGGGAGATTCTTAAAAGTTGTTTAAGAACTAAAGGGAGGTTTGGGAAGTATACAACGACCGAATTTTCTGAATCAGTATTTCGACATAAGACTTACAAAATACCGATATGTTCACGCGTGCAAAGTACAGGGAAGGAGTGCAAATATCAAAATATCCTGCTAAACAAGAGTTTTCAATGGGGAAACCATTTTTTTTCTTCTATTTGTTACATTTAAAGTGAAACGACAAAAATGTCACGTCGACATATATTCCTGAACAAGCGAATTGCGGGATTTAGCAGAGCAGCGTTATCGCTGGCGATATTACTAATGACGTCATGCTTGACAACGCGGTTGTGCGACAGTTTGGATGTGCTTACCATTTCCTGCTACAATCTGGTACATTTGGCTTACAACACGTTTAATAATATGTATTTATGTTTATGACTAAGTGAACGTTCCAAAGATTGACAAAAGCAACCAAATTCTTATTTGTGAGAAAATTGATGATTGTCAGCAATATAAAGTTTTATGCCACAGAATATTTGTCAATCATTTTCGTCATTTGGGTATTTTTCATGATATTTAAAATGTGTATAGAACGAAAGTGTAACCAACCCCGCCAATAAAAAATAAATATAATAAAAAATTTCTTATAAATGTTTAACATATTCAATGAGTGGTTGTGATCGTGATATTGATTGTGAGTGTGATAGTGATAGTGGTTGTGAAAGTGATTGTAATATTGAATGTGATACTAATTGTGATACGGGTTGTGACGGAGTATGGTCAGCTCATATATTATTTCAAAATGTGTTTTTATTGATAAAATGAAATGTGTACTAGTTCCATTTGGACATCGCTATAATCATTTATATTTATGTGTCTAGGACAATCATGTCACGTCAATACGAGGTAAACAATGTTCTAAATAGAAATCGTGGCTAGCTATTATACGTATATATATCCTGCTCTTGACTACAGCGTTAAACACCTTTAGAAACAAACTAATGTCCTGAGTCGAAGGCGGAAAGCATTCATTACGGACGTGTCTTGTAGCTAGGAAATGTACATTGAGCGATAGTGTAAATTATGACTATATCCGATTTCCTCTGATGTTATCCGATCTATTCTTGAAATGCAAGAGGAGTTTAACTGTCACACAGACAGACACATCCGTTACGTAATATCCGCTTCCTGTCTTATCATTGGGTAAACTTTCCAGACCGAGAAATGACAATTCGTGATATGTGCCTCGGAAGATTTACACCCTGTCAGTATATGATGAGGATATCAAAATCAACATCCAAATGTCACTCGGATTAGACACTAGAGCACCTAACGATAATTAAGGAACATCAACTTTCTTCAGTAATGTCGCTGACGGAGAAACACTCCTGTTATCCCCTGAGTTAAAGGAATCATCAATATGACAGCATCGCTATCGATATATTTATTGACGCGTTTTGTTTATTTGTTTTTATTTTTGAACGCACTTTTACCAGGTTGCGTTACTGTCAATTGCATATGTCAGTGTTTAAATGTTTGTCTAAAACAAAAGTCACAGCCAAAGACAACTTATGCTTAGAGTTTGATTGGATATATAATACAAAAGAGTATCGAAATTGATAGGATTAGCATTCATCTACTTGATAAATTCAAGTAAGCCCTTATTTGGCCATCATCTACATGTAGGTCCATCGATCTGGTTTACAATGGAATTCTCTCAGCTAAACTATAACGACAGTCGACTCTGCATCGTCGTTCTATCTGACCTTGAGGGGTAGCTTATTTGTTCACCAATAAATACCAAAAGATCAAATAAAACCTTGTCATTCTGTTGCCATTAAACCTATCGAGATTCGGATCTTTGTTTTTGCAAGGTTAGGTCGCTTCGGGTCTCTGCGGACGAGATCATAGCTCCAGTGATTATGACAGAGACGCTATTTAACGCCATTTGTCTGGAGTTCGGGATATAGATCAGGCCGATGCGTATCATATAATGGCGGTCACACTAATGACATTACTGCTGATAGTACGTAAAGACAAAGCCGGCGTTACCAATAAAATGGACTGCAAACATGTTATGTTATTATTCCATATAAATGATTTTATCATTTTTCGCCCGTGGAGAGTAAATCAAAATAATGCTACATCAGAAACCCGTTTCTACGGATAGCTTCTAGGTCTCCATGGAATTGAGAATGTTTTCTGCTTTATTCTCATTGTGAGGCGTCATAACAAACTACAAACACATTACTTTACAAGACACTAACACATTTTCTTTAATCTAATAAAAAACATCTTATTCATAAGGACAATTTAAATTTTCATATACACGTGTACATGTACCTGTACAGGTATATGAAACTTGCAATATTCGTTGATATATTCAATTATATTTGGATAGCGTTTCTCACTACTATATCAATATTTCGAAGCACTTCCTTCTAGGGCTTTACAAACTCCCGGTAAAAAGAAATGCACAAATACTAGTTTATTGTAAACTGACGGAGGATCAATTTTGATCAGATACATATAATAAATGTTTTATGTTGTAAAACAAATCCTAGCTTACACAGGGAGTCTGAGCCTATAACAACGATATCAAATATGCATGAGCAGACGGCATGGAGATGGAAAATACACAATGGATTCTACTTCAAAATCGGTTAAGAGAGAGTATCGCGCTGGGCATTCCATCTTCTTTCCTGACATAGTACCACACCAATTCACCTTTCCTGCTTCATTTTTTTTTGCATATTTCAAGAAATAAATTCTTTAAGCAACTGACAGTATTATTAAAGATGTTCCATACTTGTATGTTTAATTTGGTTGGTTGGTTGGTTGGTTGAAGGGTTTTGCGCCTACATGAATCCGGCCTTGCGGGTTTCATCTCACTGACTGAAGTCGGTGTTCTGTCGGCGTTATATATATTTAATTTAAAAAAAAAGGATTTTTATACTTACCGCGATTGGTGTCTTGAGTGGTCGAAGAATGGCCTGGTGTCTGTCAATAGCGATGACCACTAGCATATTAGTACTGGCCATGAGAGTAAAACTCTGACAGAACTTGACCATCTTACAGAGAAAGGCCCCAGCCTCCCACTCCCGCTTGTCCTGGTACTCCCATACTAGCTGTGTTAGGACTGCAAGAAACATGACGGCTAAGTCTGCGATGGTCAAGTTCAGAATGAAACTGTTAACACGTGATAGACTGTTCATCCTTGTCTTCAGTCGACGGTTGTTGGACATCCAAGCTAAAACCATGATACCTCCAAGGGTGCCAAGGATCAAGGTTATATACAAGTTAATGATCCGTATCTTCTGATTATACTCTTTGTCGTGAACAGACCGACATCTGCTGATGTTTCCGGCATGTCGCGAAGAGTTGAAGGGATCTATAGTTGTCATCAAGTAGTCCAGATCGGACATATTAGAATTGTCCGCCATCCTCCCAGCCGAGAATGACAACAAAGGCATGGTTGACATCCGTGAAGTTATTACGTCACTACCTGTATAAGAAACATAAAAAAAGTTTTGAGAAGGAATTCTGAGGTTGGTTTCTTTTTTTTTTATGACGGTTAAAACTATTTGACAAATAAGTTATACTAAAGTGATTGTTTGGTATGGGAAAAATAAAAATAAATAAACAACGAACGAAATTGCTGACTACACGACCCATGTTACCCCTCTCCGACAGTCAATAGACCCTTTGATCAGACAGAACATTTAGAATTTAAATCCAAAGAACAAATATCTATAAAAACAAAACACACGAAAAAACAGTCTTATTACATAAATGAAGGGGCGTTGACGCAGCTGCCCCTCCGTTACATTAGTAGTTTAAACACTTTGGTTTTTAGCCATTAGCATCACCAAAAAGTCCTTGAATGACGAAACAGCTGTCTATTGCAGTGTAACTCTTTTTTTCATTCTGTATCTTTTAACAAATTTTAAAGGATAAATCACCTGTGTGTTTGTTACGTTCATCTTTGATAATAACAATGAAAATAATAATAGGTAGTTAAAATTACATCTTGATACAGAAAAATCAATTAAGTCAAACATTCAAATTTGAGTTTTTATTTTATCAAAATATACCGCCTTTTTATTTTTTATTCTACATTTCCTATTAACATTTGTAATTTTCGTTAACTCCGAATTAATAAAAGCAACTAATAAACCAGTAGTTACACATCCTGCTATGGATTGACTAGAATATTTATAGTTGTCTTGCTCACAATAATGAAAGACGATATATCCTATGTATTGCAAGACTAGACATCCATCCACAGATGAGTTACGATTTCAGAGAGCATCTGACACTGCGACGCATTCCAGTGCGATAATCCTTTATATGAACGAGAATCAAAGGTTCGCTCGCTATATTAAGGACTGTGGTTCATGATGTTTTCCCCGTCTGCATTCATGACTCGTTTGCTCGCACGAACAAATGTTTTATCTCGCACAAGTTTGATGGTAATAGGAAAGAACGCATTCAAATCGGATGGCAAAATTACATGAAGAGTACGTTGATTGCATAACTGTATGCTGTATACCTTTAGGTTTTGTGTTTGATACTGTTTCTTAAAATGAATCTAAGCTAAACACAATTTAAAGTGAGAGAGGAAAACGGAAGAGTCAAGGTTGGCCATAGAAAAAATAGTTAAGTAATGTGAAGTGAAAAAATAGGTCTGTCTGAAAAAGATCTATGTTAATCACTCCATACAAAACAAATTGATATCACAAAATAAAAACTGCAAGGAAACGAAACAGGAAACTATATATCAAGATGATAAAAATTAAACTATCAGATTCCATTAACGGTAATCTTTTGAAAAAGCTGTGAGTATAATTTCTTTCCCGCAAAGAGATGGCACAGCACAATGTATATAACGTAAGTAAATTTCCAAAAGAGGAAAAAGAATTTGGTTTGAGACATTGACAGATGTCAATGACATACATATACAAGAAATTCAAGTAATACTTTTGTTAATTTGGTACATTGTGTATATATGCTTCCATTTGTAACCTTGCTGAAAATCACATGAACACACATAAAACCATCAATATTTCTTTCTAGAGAAATCCATTTCAATGCTTCTTACGTTATGAGACGATAAGATTCAAAACGGGATCGCTCGAGAACGAAAATAGATTTCAACACCATAATGACGTATACACGTCGTGTGATTGGAAATGCCACATATTTTGGTGAAACTAAACGAGTTATAGGTTTTGCTATTCTACAGACATAGACAGGGCATTCAAGCGTGGTCTGCCAACGGCCGCTAACCAGCTTTATCGATACAAAATTGCACGGCTATTCTCCTTTGATAATTTGATTCCCCTAAAAGGTCCGATCAAGGTCGACTACCGGCGCCAAGGCGGAAAAAACCCATTATCGAATCATATCTCCAATTTCATCCTGTTTTTAAGCGCATTCTTAAAATACTCTTGAGTGACCTGTTGATAGCACGACTAAGTATGTCTGCGACGCTTTAACAGTGTTATCGTCAAACATGTGACTTAAAGGTCTTTAAGAAGCAAGGCAGATCGTAAAGAAGGTACATATAAGTAAAGTAATGATTCGACCGTCCATTTACAACTTGATGATCAGAATACCAAACAACTTCCTCTTTTAGATAACAATGTAAAGACCTTCTCAATTATTATTCCCAGCGTTTCTTTCATTACTTATTTTCTCATCGATATTTTATGCCGGGAAATTCTCGCCACATTTTATATTTCGCCTTTTTGTGGTCTCCGAACATACTTCATATGGTAAATCAACGTGAAAGGCGAAATGAATTGGCAAATATAAAACGATTATCCAGTAAATGACAAAAGTTTAACTGGGCAAAGGTTTCCAGGTATATCGGTGATTATCGAATACATATGAATGTCATTCTTTCTTTACAAATGATAACTCCGAGATAAACAACAACAAAAAACCATGACCTTTCAATATTATTTTATTGTCGGTTTCAACAAAAATTTCGGCCAGTGTAATAGCCCAACAAGACATATATATACTCAGTGAAAAATGATGAAGAAAGGAATTCAAGGAACGGACACCAAAAAAACAACAACAACCCAGCACATGCATGACACTAATCACTAACAACCAGTCCGTCGGATGGGACTATAAATGGTGGCCCGTGTGAGAACTGTCCAATTTCGCACGGAAAAAATCCCTCTGGGTTTTTCGAAAAAGAGCAGGCGCGTAAACGCCGACTCAGAGGATAGGAAAAATGTATTCAAAATTTTAAAGGTAGGGTCTCTTTATTAAGATATTTAGAAGGACTTCCAAATTTTATACATAAACCAAATTCTTAAACATAGGCGGGGCTGATGGGGCTGACGGCGGCACAGTACCTCACTTCCGGTCCAGAATTGGTGATGCTTCACAATGAGTGTTAGGTTAAGGCATTATTAGGCATAGGAGTCGTCTCACAAAAACTAGACAGTTAATATATATAGGATAGACGGCTCTTTATCTAATCTATCCCCCTCTCATACACTTTACTCCATACTTTATCCCTTCTACTCTTTTTCCTTTCTGTTCTTCGTCTGCTGGATAACCGATACATCCGGTAGTTAAGCGGACGTAAAACCTATCAATCAATCAATCAATCCCAACAAGACATGCGTACTAGGACGCCGGATCTAAACACTCTAGACTTGTTGGACAACCGAGGCTGGTGTGACCTACTTGTTTTCATTACATACAATCCTTGTCGTTTAAGATAGATGTTGCTGCAAGTGATAATTGTCATTTAAAGACACGTCAGGTTTTAATGGTTGAGTAAACCCGAAGAAAACGACCGACCTGCGACTGCCCCACATAGTACTCGAACAAGCGAGCAAGTGGTGGACGGCCAGTGATCGTAGACGGTCAGTCGCATTAACCACTCGGGGACTTCGGCCCCAACCTTAGACAACAACTGTTCAGCAGTTATAATATCACTGTCTCTGCGCTGCTTTTGTAATCATTGATCATGACTATAACAGGTGCTTACTGGTTTATGCACATTCAGTTCTATTTGAGGGATCTGGAGGACTTTTAGTAATGACACAAGATATTACATTATTGTGTTAATAATGAAAATTCTAGCTTAGTGTCAAAAAGCCATGTCCTTTATGAAGAGCTATGCATTAGTGACATAAAGATAAGACTATGAGGAAACAATTAGGTCTGATCAGGGGAAAATACAGCTTCGTGTATTGTTACACGAACACAACACGGCACAGATACAAAATAGCAACCATCATATAGCTGTTGCGCTGCCTACCAGTGAAATTATTGGATGTATCTAAAATACTACGCTACGTTCAAACAAGACCACCCAGGTAATTGTTTGGTGCTATTCTCCGGTAATTGTCTGCTGCCATACTGATGGCGCTGGTCGCACACGCTGTTACCACGGAAACCGATGCTTTAACAAATCATCAGCAGAATAATGGAACAGGTATCTCAACCTTCATCCTGTTGCTTTTGTGACGATGTCTATGAAAACCGATATATCTAAAATGGCATTTAAACTTGATACTAAAACATCAAAATTTTGACCTGTAACTTTGTACTCTTTTTCTTTGCTTTACCTGGAGTATTTCTGTGGTATATTTATTTTCATAAATGTAGGTTCTCCGTAAATCAATTAAAGTTGTGCTTTCTTTAATTCTTTTAAGTCTTATTTTTCTTTGACAACGTCCGTTTTGAAACAAAACCACATAATGCATTCGAAGAAATTAATGTCAAGGTATAAAACCGTTTGCATTGCTTATTTTTAACTCTGATCTATACACATACACACGTATCTCAGAATCTCATACTCCTATATGACGAGCATCAAATATATTTTTATTTGTCGGCCAAACAATGTTTTGGTCGTTTCATTATTTGTCTTCCAAAGAGTGTTGCTGATTTATGTTAGCAGACAAACAAAATCGGACATTTATACGCTGCCACGGGGAAACAGTACACTAATATAACATTTCAACACGAATACCGAGTGATGTATTGTTTTTTATCCACATTAAAACGAATGCCTGCAGGATTTAAATTTTCAAATTTTCATCTTTTTTTTTTTTTTATATATATAAGAAGACTTTGATTCTGCTGGAATACGGAAGACGGCATGCAGATAAGTTGAAAAGTGTTTCCTGTGCAAGATTTTGAAGCAAATAAACAAGTTATTTTTACATTTTAATTCTAGTGTAGATAGCTAATTACGTAACATAACTAGCTAACAAACAGTGTCTAGAATCAATGTTAATTTAATAAAAATGTCTCAATTATAACGCCCACATCTAACAGAGTACATCTATCTCATTAACAAATCTCATAGACACAGTACGTTTACTTAAACTATTTAAAACTCTCCTTTGAGACAACCTATCACGTTTAAGAAATTCTTAAAAGTGCAACACTTACTTTATTTCCCCTTCTTTGCCGAGCGTTAGACAACTAAATAACCAACCTCCAGTTTGTGTATAATTCTACCAACAG